GCCATCAGGCTCATAATAACCTTAGAAAACTTCCCTGCATTGCAGACAATTGAACTGCACTTGGGATTTTCACTATTCAGCTTCAGCTCCTGCTCCTGTGTTTCATTTGTCATTGATCACATACTGGCTGTGAAGGACAAGAAATTATTTTATTCATCACTGCGTTCTGTCAAAAGATTATGTTGTAAAACCAACTGTTAGGTTTTTCCTATTTGCTTGTTAAACAGATCCCAGTAGCAACAGAGTAAAAATGTTTAATGCAGTACGAAGGCAACTCTGCTTTTAGTTCTTCATGGTGGGCGATTATATGAGCAATATTTGTTCAGGCACAGCTGTTTGTTCTGATCTTATTCTTTTTTTTTTTTTTTTAATTAAAAATTAGGCAAATAGCCATGGAAATGTTCATAAAGAATTACAGTCAAAAGAGGGAAAAAAAACCCCACAAATCTTTTTAACCCCCTCCCCCAATATTTTATATGCTAAGAAACTCTGTAAGGTCATATGAGGGCATGTTCCTGAGGACTGAAAGAAAGAAAATGTCACTCATATTCAAGAAGGTCAAGAAAGAGGATCCAGGGAACCACAGGTCAGTCAGCTTCACCTTGATCCCTGGGAAGGTGATGGAGCAAATAATCCTGGAAACCATTTCCAAACATATGTGAAGCACAAATAGATGACTGGGAGCAGTCAGCATGTTTGCATGAAAGGGAAGTCATACTTGACCAACTCGATAGCCTTCTACAATGAGATGACTGCCTTGGTGGATCAAGGGAGTGCAGTGGATGCTGTTCATCTCAACTTTAGTAAGTCTTTTGAGACTGTCTCCCATAACGTCCCATAGACAAACTGATGAAATATGAACTAGATAAATGGACAGTAATGTGGTTTGAAAACTGAGCTGCCAGGCCAAGAGGCACACAGTCCAGCTGGAGGCCAGTCACTAGTGAACTACTCCAGGGGTCGATACTGGGGCCAACACTGTTTGACATCTTCATTAATGACCTGGACAATGGGACAGAGTTTGCAGAGGACACAAAACAGGGAGGCGGGGTTGATGCACCAGCTGGTTGTGCTGCCATTTAGAGGGACCTTGACAGGCTGGAGAAATGGGCTGACAGTGATTTCACAAGGTTCAACAAAGGGAAAAGCCAAGCCCTGCCCCTGGGAAGGAATCACCCCGTGCACCAGTACACACTGGGGACACACCAGCTGCAAGGCAGCTCTGAGGAGAAGGACTTGGGGGTGCTGGTGGAGAACAAGCAGATCATGAGCCAGCAATGTGCCTTTGTAGTAAAAAAGACCAAAACCTCCTGGGCTGCATTAGGAAGAGTCAAGGGGAGGTGGTCATTTCCAGCAGGTCAGGGGAGGTGATCATTTCTCTCTGCTCAGCCCTGGTGAGACACATCTGGAGGGCTGGGTCCACGTCTGGGTTCCCCAGCACAGGAGAGACATGTACATACCGAACTGTGTCCAAGAAAGATGTTCATGGAGATGTTTCAGGGACTGGAGCATCTGACATGTGAGGAGAGGCTTAGATAGCTGGGACTGTTCAGCCTGGAGAAGAGAAGTCTCAGGGAGGATCTTACCAGCATGTGTAAGTACCTGATGGCAGGCAGTAAAGAAAGTAGAGCCAGACTTTTCTCTGTGGTGCCTGATGACAGGACAGGAGACCATGGTGTCCTGGTTTCGGCTGAGATGGAGTTAAATTTTCTTCCTAGTAGCTGGTATAGTGCTGTGTTTTGGATTTAGTCTGAGAATAATGTTGATAACACACTGATGTTTTAGTTGTTGCTAAACAGTGCGTACACTGGTCAAGGACTCTTCAGCTTCCCCTGCTCTGCCAGGTGCACAAGAAGCTGGGAGGGGGCACAGCCAAGACAACTGATCCAAACTGGCCAAAGGGCTATTCCATACCATATGCCGTCATGCTCAGTATATAAACTGGGGGGAGTTGGCTGAGGGGCAGTGATCAGTGCTCAGGGACAGGCTGGACATCTGTCAGCGGGTGGTGAGCAGTTGCATCACTTGTTTTTCCTGGGTTTTGTTCCTTTTATTTTTGTTTTGTTTTCATTTTCACTATTATTATAATAATAATATTTTATTTCAGTTATTAAACTGTTCTTATCTCAACCCACGAGTTTTCTCACTTTTACCCTTCCGATTCTCTCCCCATCCTACCGAGGGGGAGGGTGAGTGAGCAGCTGTGTGGTGCTTAGTTGCTGGCTGGGACTAAACCACAACACATGGGCACAAGTTTCAATACAGGAAATTCTGTTTAAACATAAGAAAAAAAATTCTTAACTGTACAGTGATCAAACACTGGAAGGGGTAACCCAGAGATGTTGTGGAGTCTGCATCCCTGGGACATGTTCAAAACCAAGATGGACATGACCCTGAAAGACCTGCTCTAGCTGATCCCCGCTTTGAGCTCAGATGTTGGACTAGATGATTTCCAAAGGTGCCTTCCAACCTCAATTTTTCTGTGGGTCTGTGATTCTGTGATCTCTGATTCTGTGTATAATTCCTCCTTTTTTGCTTTTTAACAATTTGTCTTTCATTATTTACATCTTATCAGAGGAGGGCAGGGCCATCAGAGTTTACAATTTATAGAAAAAAGAGTAGTAGTGTTGCAAAAAGCAAGTAGCTTTTAAGTATTAACAATGAGAATCAGACTTTTGAGACATTTTAGTCAGAAAAAGCTTTCTTCTTTCATATTCATAGGCAATTCAGTTACTGCAAGTGGAAACCCAGAAAACACAAATTTGAATTAATTTTTTTATTTTAATAAATGACATACTTTAAATAATAATCTGTTGGAGCAGATTACCAATGGATGTGGAAAAGTATCCTTCTGTCTCTTTAAATCAAATTTGGGTGGAGAGCAAAGCTATATAAAGATCAACTTTATCCCAAAGTTCAAGAGAAAGAATGACTTTAAGTGAAGATTTTGTCAAGGAGAGGAAAACATGACAAGTAGTGTCTATGTTATCCTAGGGAAGTGCCCAGAGAGGTGTAGTCAAGACCAAATTCCCTTCCCATCCCCACTATTTAGCCAGTGCCACGCACATGGGTTGCTACAGAGGTGCATCAGTTGGTATGTCAGGAGAGGGTGCAGGGGAGGAAATTTCCTCTGCAGGGCTCTCCAGGGCAGCCACATGAGATCTGGACGACAGGTAGCTGGCAGCACCTCTGTTTGCAGAGGCAACATGTATTTTAGGTGGCAGAGCAGCCTCGCTGGGGTGCTCCCATCTGACTTCTGCCCCAGCATGCGACCACCAACAGTGGGGCTGCTTTGCTCCTTCCCTGGCATCCCCAACCTTCGTAATAGCCTGGGTGTACCCATAGTGCTGCTCTGTCTGAGGAGATGTACTTCCCATAGCACCTACAGCAGCCAGAACCTACTTCACCCCCACAACTACGAGCAGAGAAACCACCAATACGAACCAGCACGCTGCTATAGCTCCTCTGCCCCTGGACTCCTGCTCTGCTGTCACCAGGTGCATACTAAACCCAGGAGGCTCCAGGGACTGTTCAGGCCAAGCAGGACAATGTCTATCAAATTAAGGCACCAAGTGGGTTGGTCAGTACTGGAAAGTAGGTCGACTGGGTCACTAACTGAAAGGATCTTCTGATACCTAAATGGAAATTTAGATTTCTTCAGACGGAATCCCACGCTGAAGTATGTGCTGTGTGAATACTTGGGTCGAAACCTCACAGTTGGGCTCATTGCCAGGGTACAATGACCTTATTATTGGACTTGACTTCCTGCCTTCGTGGTGATTCAAATATATCCATCGTATTTCACAGTCTGGGTGGGCCCGAAGCACATATTCAGTCTCGTCATCTCAGCTGAGAAATGTTAACTCTTCAGGCTCCTCTTTATTTTCAGTGATGTGCCCATGCACTTGGGGTTTTTCCTCCCTTTCTGGATCTTCCTCATTGCTCCAAACTCCTTTTGTTTGATAACACTTCAGAATGGTCTATGAGCTGGAGCTTCTAAAACATTTTCTGGAGATTTCTTTAGTAAATCTTAAAAAAAAAAAAGGTAAAAGTCTGCTGAAAGTTTCGCTTTACTCCTTTTCTAGGAGCTTGATTCTTCTATTTATAACAGGTAGGCAGCTCATATGCAATAAAGTCAAAATAAAGCTAAGGTGGTTATGAAAACATAACTAATAACAGGGAATTGTTCTTCCTTGCAAGTGCCTCAGTCCCATAAATGCTCCCCCAAGCATGTGCTTACCCACGCTGCCCGGATGCCTATGCCTCATAAAACTTGATGCAATGAAAACTGAATTGACTGCTTTCAAGGGTCATTCTGAGAGCTTCATTATTTAATTTTTATTTCAGTCTGGGCTCTGTTGCTTACACAGGAAGTTTCACTTGACTTTTAGTACCTTAAAAATATTGTAATAACACTGCTCGGGTCTTGCGGTTCTAAGTAGTGACTTTATGTGTACAAAGAGACATTCACCATTCTGCAGAGCTCACATATTACTTAAATCTTACAAGATTAATATAGATTTACACGTTGCATAGAATGTTCTGGCCTTCTCTCACCAAGGACTTCCAACCCTGGGAGAAACACCTCTCCACAAGGATATGTCCTGAAATTGGTAGTACAGACCAAATGAGACGAAAGTCCTTTCCCTTAATCTATATATATTATATGAAGACTATAGCTAGCACGTATAGATACACTGACTCTCTGGGGAAGGGGGATGAATAGTAGAAAAGTATTGCTATTTTTAGCTGCAGTGCATGGTCTGCCTGTGTTTCAATCTGCAATACAAATCTCCCCTGATAAATGCACCAGTTGTGATTTTATTTTCCAGGAAGATGAATACAGAGATGGTAACGGCCAAAAAAAATCTATGTATGAATCTCAAAGAAATTAATGCAGCTGTAAGGCAGTTAGGTCCTGTTTTCTGTTATCTTGCCAAGGAACAACCACTTGTAGACTGGTAAATAAAAGTTAGTACTGTCCTCAGGAGTTATTTTTTTTAAAATCCAAGCATAAATGAAGAGCTATGGGTGAGGGGATCATCTGCCCATGTGACTGAAGTGGCCAAAGTTTTTTCATCATTTTTGAAAATTGCCCTCCTTCAATAACGGTCCAGTGACTGCTTCAACTTCTCCTTAAAGAAACTAGTTGTGAGAGTATAGAGAATGGGCTTTGGGGCACTGCGTATTGGCAGAACAAATGTCACTATCCAGGAAGGGATAGTGTCTAGGAACAAAGGTAAAATACTTTGTATGCTCTGTTGCAGGAAAGCTAAAGAAGCAAATGCGTCTTTATGTCATTTTTACTTTATGTCCTTTATTTTACTTTATGTCACTTTTTTTTTTACTTTATGTCATTTTTTGTGGAATGCTACCATAGTATTATTTTTATAAGAAAGGGGGTTGAATTCAACATTGCTCATTGTGATTTTCATTGAGTTCACCAAGGGTTTTCATAAGAAGGGGAAAAAAACCAGATTTTCACCAGAGTGTCTTTTTCTCTATCTACTGGAATTTAATAAAAGCACTAAACATGAGCTGAAGTCTGTCTCTCTTTAGGATAGTATTTAATATAAATCCAAATTGCATACCTATTTTTTATATGGCAATTTTCATCAGTAGGTTTCAAAGTGCCTTACAAAAGCTATCATTATTATTTTACAGAGGGGAACCTGGAGTACAGAGGGGCGAAGCGACTTGCTCAGAGGACCATGAGCTGAGCTGTGTAGAGCCTCACCATCGTGAATCCCATGCCAGCCACAGTTGTACATCTTCTGAACACCCTCATGATGTCCGTGTTTTATTTTTAACAACTTACATGTAATCACTTTTCTCCTGGTTAGGCAAATGGAATTCAATGCTCCCAATGAGGCTAAATAGGTTTTACGATAAAATCATTGACAATTTACTATATTTCTTTCATGCCTTTCATATTATGGAGAATTATTTACCCAATTTTCTATGAACATGAGGCATCAGTTTTCTAGAATTATAGTGGGAGAGCAGGATGCCTTTATTACCACGTTATCTGTTAGCAACTGCAAGGTTCGCAGGGCTGCATATAACCAGTGCAGTGATGGAGAGCTATGAGGTTGTACATACAGCTGCTCCGCGGGCTGGGAGGGGAGAGTGTGTGCTGCCCTGCGGGAGCAGGGAGGGCCTGTAGCCTCCTCAGGACCCCCTGGAAATCACTGCCGGCATCTATAAATGTGGTGTCTGGGTTGCTTAAAGTCCTTCCTGTTATAATTTTGTTTCCCTGATGATTAAACTAATGGACTTATTCACACATATTACCATGGGATTTTGCAGCTGTAGCAGAGGAGAACCTCTTCACTGGATAGCTTAGTCTGGTTCTCACCTACATACATGGATTGAAGATGTTATGTATGTACTTTAAAGGTCAATTTCCGAACATAGAAAAAGTAAAATATTTCGGGCAATACTTACTCTTCACCCATGGTTAGCTAGAATTCCTCTGGCAGAATTGTTTTGGTTTGAAATGAATGCTTAACAAAAGAAATCACACTCTTGCGTGGAGTTTCCACCTGGAATAAGGAGAGGATTCCAATGACAAAGACAGGAATCCAGCAGATGGCATCAGTGGATACTATTAAAAAAAATATTGATTGGCAACAGCAACAACCCTGCGAACGTGACGCTGGACTCCTGATGACTGAAGGGCAGTTTTTTGAACAGAACAAAACGTGCTGACCTATGAAAACACCATGATGATGGAGGCTAGCAGGGTCACACCTGTGGGGAAACAAGATTCGAAACAAATGGCATTGAGTCTTTCCTCTCTTCCCTTTCTCCTGACCACTTCTCTGTTTCATTCTCTTCCATTATTTTGTTATAATTTTTACATTAATGTATCTGTAGTATACTGATAGAATTTTATGCTAGAAACAGCTCCTCAATATCGTCTAGTGTCACACAGCCTGCTCACATACCACGTGTTCCCATCTGTTACACAGTGAGATGCGAATAAGTTGTAAGAAGTTACTATAGAAACACAGTTAATGCACAGTATGGGTGGGCTCGTGATTCCACAGAGATCGGGTCTCCTGACTAGAAATGCTGCAGTAAATCCAAAACAGAAACCACCTGCAGGACTCTCACGTAATATGGAAAGAACAACATATTCCCCAGCAAAGTGACAAACCGATCTGAGCCATGTGTTCATTTCAGACTGGCTTCCTCGGTTCTGTATAAATATCCATCCCAAATTACTGATGGGAGAACATGTGCAGAGCAAGCTGTGCAACTTGGATTTTAATTGCACTGCAGTGTGTTGCAGAGCAAGGCTTTTAACAGTTCATCAGATGGCAACTCCTTTGACTGGAGTACTCTGATAAATAGCTGAGAGCCATTTATGTCAAGATGCCAGCACCTGAAAACAGGCTCTTGCTCAGAAATACAGATTGAAACAAACTAAAAGGATTGAAAAGTGTGATATAATAATTTTATTGATGCGAAATCACTACATGAGCCTGATTGGGCATGGGCATTGCCTTTTTTACTTTCTACTCAGTGTAATTCTAAAAAACTAGTTTTATCTTCTGGTATGTAGCTTTTTCGTCTTTTTGATATCAAGAGATAAAATGAGGAATAACTGTTAAATGTGTATATACTGGCAAAATAACCCCTATGTCTCTGTAAGTGCAGGTCAGGGAGAAGATCGTTTGGTAATAGTTTGAATAATTCTCAGTCCTTGCTGTGAGTGAGTGCTCTGAGGCTGAGCACGACCAGCTCATACGTATCTCAGGCTGAAGTTTCTGGGCTTTATCCTGTTCATTTCCAGTTTATTTTATATATATATATGTATCTGTTTAATCATTATCCCCTGCCAGTATAATGCACGTATAGCTCTACTTACTATTTATATTATCACCGTTTTCTGCAATCCAGTGAAGACTACACTGAGTAATAGTTGAAGGTTGCTGATTTTGCCAGTTTATAAAAATGAAAAGGTTTCAAACCATTGGGCTAAGTAATTTCATTACCTCATTGCTATTCAAATTACTATGTCCTTCTATGTATTCTCCTTTTCTTTGTTTCACTCGCTTGTGTTTTGTTAAAATTAGATACTAAACTCTTCAGGTGACACGGACCCTTTTAAGTGTGCAGCCATCACACAGCACATGAGGCTCTGCTCCTTTTGTGGGCCTTTGGGAAGTATTACAACACGAACATTGATAGTGTAGTGAAAAGTACATCTATCAGTGAAAGCTCTGTAGACTGACTGCCAGTTTTTCTAGTAAAATAGTATTAATCAGTAAGTATAGCATACTAAAAATTAAACTTACCAAGAAAAATACCAAGGGAATACCTGTTGCCTCCAATTTCTTCTCTTTGATCAGAATTCAATGGGAAATAAACTCCATTTTTCCCATAATAATTTCAAAAAAAAGTCCTCATCCTAGAATGGGATTATTGCTATGACAAACCCAGCAATCCATATGGATATAAGAATCACTACTGTCTGCTGCCTTCCAGGATGAATATTACTGAAGGAAAAGACAATCACTAAATACTTTTCTAAGGTGAGATATGTCAACGACAGGACTGAGACCTCTGTAGATAGCATGGTGATGAACACCATGATATGGCATGGTAAACTTACCATCCACAGCACAGCATATTTTTCATACTGTCTATGGTATTTAACTTCAAAAACTCTAATGAAGAACAAATACACCCCCATAAGACAATCAGCACCTATTGAAGAAACAGATTTCAGAATTTGCTGAAAAATATCAATGAAGTGCTCTATATGTAGTATACTTTTATGTTTAACCAAACTCTAGCTGGCATTCAAAAATAATTTAACCGTGTGATCGCGGCATCAGAATTCACATGCTGTGGGGCTATGAGCCCCCTGATCACAAACGGGAGAGTGGAAACTGGTGTCAGGATACAAGAGTGGAGGTGTTGCTGAAGAGGGCTCCCATGAGCATGCAACAATCTGGAGTCAAGCTCCCTGGCTGTGGCCAGCACGGTGGCTTTTGCAGACAGCGAAATATTATAGAATCATAGGTTAGAAATCATTTAGCTTGGAAAAGACCTTTAAGATCATCAAGTCCAACTGTTAACCTAGCGCTTCCAAGTCCACCACTAAACCATGTCCCTAAGCACCACATCTAACCGTCTTTTAAATACCTCCAGGAATGGGGACTCCACCACTTCCTTGGGCAGCCTGGTCCAGTGCCTGACTACCCTGTCAGTGAGTATTGAATGACTGCAATGGCTGTATTTGTCACACAGGCAGCCAGGCCTGGAGAGGGGGTACAGCAGTGTCTGGGCACTGCGCAGGGTACGGATACTGCAGCGGCAGAGTTTCAGCCAGGAGCAAGCTGCAAGAGTCTCGGGCAGAGTGTGGAAGACCTGGCAGGTCTATGGCACTATATAGTATATACATGACGCTATATAATAAATACACAAAAGATCTCTGATATCTTGCCTGGGATTTACTTCTGATTTTATACATTCACGATATGTATCTACTAACAAGGCAAATTCATTTTACCTGACTTCAGCCATTTATAAAGCTGAAGATCTGAATTAGTTGTGCCTTGGCTGTCTTTACAGTCAATGAAGTCAACAGATACTTTTGGGACATGATCCATTAGACCTACTTTGGACGTCTTTTTTAGAATTAGGTAAATTGCACGATTCATTGACTAGAGAGTGCAAAGTGACTAGTTCACGGACATCTGCACTGCAAGCGTCTGAAGTCACACAAGATAAAATCTTTCCTGTGTGAAGTTAACATGCGGTCAGAAAGCAGCGTCTATAGACTTGGCTAACTGGAACAAAGAGAGGAGAAGTAATAATAGATCTCATATGTTTTTAAAGGGTTAGTCACCAGAAAACAGTGTCACACTATTGCACCATAAGCTTGCAAAGAAGTAGGATTTGGCCACAGCAAGTGTGGATTTGGTCCCACATTTCTGTTGGCTCGAAGATTCTTAATCTTCGAACAACAGCTGGACAGGGTATGGTGCAATCATTTGGAAGTACTCACATTTTGAAATATCCAATTCAAAAATATCAGAAGCACTTATTAGTTCCTGTGCCAAAAAAGGAGATATGATGATTTGACACATCACAAAATAAATTCAGACAGCAAGTAGTCTAACACTAGCTAACTCATCCGTAATCTTTAATGCTGAATGAATAGTAGTAATTAATAAAGTAAAATGTTTAAGTTTTTTATACACATCTTGACTGCCCAAAGTCAAGGAATTGAAGGACCCTGGTTATTTTTTGACACTCACTTTCATTTAGAATATCAGAAAATAATGCAAAAATAGATAATGCATAATATTTTTAAATGTTTTGAAATTCGTATGTGTCTAGAATGCAAACTGAAATTATTGGAATATACATAATGTTACTTATTATATATAATATAATGTCATAATGTAGTATACAATACCATATTAATATATTAATTTTATTAATGTACTAATCAAATCAATGTATTATGAATACCTTTAATACATACTTAGGAAATTTTGATAGACATGGTGTACATGTCATTTTCTGCTTTGATAAGTGATCTCATTCTGATGACAAGATTTCCAAAACATATAACACAAGCTATGACCCACACAAATACTCACAGAACATTGTCAGCTAAGAGATCTTCAAATGATGAAATCCCATCTGTTAATGATGTGCATAGTCACACATGAACCGCATAGAAGCAATAAGTGAAACTTTTTGAAGTAGCTGAATGTAAAGAAATGAACCTGTAATATTGCTGATTAAACACAAGCCAATGTCACCGTTATGTACCAGTTTTGCAAGTAGGTGCAAGGAGCTGGAAGAGGAGAAATAATTCCTAGTGCATATAAGGGGTATGCTGTGAAACGTATTAAATCAAAGGAGGATTTAGGACATTGATAGCAGCTCATACACTTTTGATCCCCAGTAACGATGCTGGGGGTAGTGGCTGCAATCACCTGTGATTTCCTTCAGGTTGCTGTAATATGCAATTAGGGCACTGCCCTTTGTTCATGTAGGACTTGAGAGAAATGGTCAGAGCTGGTGTATTTTTTGTTTTCACACATCTTTTAAGAGCTTTGCTTTGCTACTCTTAGTTTGTTGTCAGTGTGCAGGTGGATGTTCTTCATACTAAGGTGCTTCAAAAGCAGATCTTTTACTGTCCTTGGCAGAAGGATTTTGCCTGCCTTAACAAATTGTAGAATTTCTGTGGAATGACTTAAATTTGGTAATGAACATTATCACATCTTAAATTTTTCACTTCCTTGACCATTATTCAAATAAATAGTTCCCTGCTTCAGTGACAGTGCACTCATAAAGAAGGCTTGTGGGACAGGACATAAAGGCTCTAATACCGTAAAGCCTACAAGAGCAGGGTTGTTTTGAAATGTATCCTTACATCCCATTGACTTCTACAAGATTTAAAAATATGTTCTGGTATATATAAAAAATAAAACATGAAGGATAGATCTGCAAATAAAACTCTGATGTGATATAACTGTGAAATATATGAACAATGATATATCAAATTCTGCATGTTGATGTAGTCCTATTGATTGTATCCACCACCTGCTGGTAAATAAGTGGACAGTAGCTGATTTCAGTTTTATTTTTCAAGAAGTAATAAAGAGTGGAGGAAAGACTGTAATATAAGCTCTTTAGAAATAAAGTCAGAAAGAACATTGCACAGTTGAAGAAGATGCTTACATTCATGGCATAGAATAAGCAAATATAAATATTTGGGAGCAATTCCAGACTGAAAGACCAAAACCAGAAGGAAAAAATAAGCCTGAAGATTTCTCATCAAGAATGGCACTTTAATTATTTAGAGAGGCAAGAGACATTTGAGTATGTATCCTGGGTGGTTTAATATCCAACTCAGGATATTCTATGATTCTATGATTCTAAGTGTGGATGTGTGACACTCCTAAAGCCCTTTGCCTCAGCTCAGGGATTGTAGTTCAGAGGCACCTGGTGTTACTGGCAGGTAGCTGTGACATACTGTGAAGGAAAAGGGCATGCTTTATGACTGCGAATTAAGATGTCTATACAGCACACATTCTATCTTCTCTATGAACATATATGGCTTTTATTCATGTCCAAAATATATAATCACTCTTCTGTTTCTTAACTCAGTTCCCAATTTGGGTGCACATAAATGAGGTATTCTACTTCTGCCTGCTAAGCTTAAGGCTACAGTAACTCCCAAGTAAGCAAACAATTTTATTTATTCTGCTTCAGCCAGAAAAAGAAGTGTGAAGGGCAGAAAAAGAAGTGATGTGATATGGTCTAGAAATGAGGGAACAAAATGAGGAGCCTGTTTCCTTTCTCTGTTTAAAATAGTGAAACATTTCATCTATTTTTTTTGCAGAAATTGAGCTACCAGTGGAATTAATATGGAAAAGCAACACCCTGGGATGGTTTTGGACATTTTTATATGGACCTCCCACCCCCTTAATGATCTTTTCTTTTATTTTGCATATATACATGTGGGAGAGGTTCCTCATACGTTGAAACATTCTTCCATTTATATTTAGAATCTCAATCATTTCCAGGTATCTGTAACATGTGTAAATGTTATGAGCTGTAAATAAATTATAAGAAATAGGGCTTCCTGTAGTCATCAAATTTCCAATTACACAAACAAGCCTTTTCTTAAATCATAGGTCTCAAAGAAACTATGTCATGGAAAAATCCTGACTACATTCAGTAGGACTGTTCATCACATCGAGCTTTTTACTGGAAGATTGTGTTGTGGGGATGTGCATTTAGCCGGAGCTCCCTTTGTAGTTACACCATTCAACAACCGATGCAATATCCATTAAGGGAAGCACAAGAAGTGACTTGCACAGGTTTTCATCACTTTCCCTGGGTGCTAAGCTACCCTGCTCACAGCAGTGTGATTTAAAATCTTATTATTATAAACCTTGGCCAGAGGGCCTTCCGACTAACAAAGGAATCACAGAACTGAAAGCACTAATAAGCCCAGAACAGGCAGGGATAAAAGACAGCTTCTGCTATGAGAATCAGAAGAGAGAAAGAAATAAGACAAGAAGGCAAAATGTATAATTCTCTCAGTTTTTCCTTGGGGAAGTGAGAATTCCCCTCCATTGTTCAAGGTAAGATTGACCTGCAAGCTTTTGATGAGAAATCCAAAGTAGTGGGAGGTAGCTGTGGGCCTGCTGAGGAAAGACAAGGACACTGGAGATCTTTCGGGTTTGAATTACTGGAAGCAGCTGCTATAGACAATACAGACAGACCTCCCTTTGGAAGGACGGACAGTCTAGCAGGCTGAGGGAAGCTGAATATTTTGTCACGTTTCTGGAATTTGCACAAACCATAGGTACTAGCTGCCCAGAAGCTGCAGCAGTGAACGATTCATCAACGCTCTGTACAACTAGGAGTACAAATCACTGAAGAGTGTGTGTTTGCAGGTGAGGACCTGGGCCTTCCTGTATTAGCCACCCAAAGTACTAAGATGACTTATTTTTTTATTTTATTTTTTAATTTTGGAGATTCAGGCATCTGGGTTGGGTTTTGTTTCACCTGACATTAGACCTCCTCACTGGAGCTAAGTTTCCTTTAGTGTCAGTGGAGAGAAGCATCTCCTCGGACACGGCTAGGTTAAATGACTCTTGTCCTGCATGGTTTCTTTTTGTCTGCTGACTGTAGAGGGAACCTCACAGAGAAGAAATCTTTAGAAAAATAGACTAAAATATATCAGAAAATTTAACATTATAAAATATTAGTTTGAATAACCAGACCACATAAAACATTCAGCTTATATCTGAATTGGTAAAATGAAGAGGGCGAAGACGCGGGTGTAGGCAGCTATCCATACTGCCTCATTTTTTGTCCCTTGTGAGCTAGTTAGGCCAGACAGTTATATTTGCTAGCGTAACTGGAGCCTAGGGACCAAAGACACCTACTAGGACTAGTCATGACATGCATGTGATGAGACAGGGATGATTAGTGTGCAGGTACGTTCCTCCCTCCCACCCCAAGAGTGACAGAGGAGCACAGAACCGAAGGAGAAGGATATAGTTAAGGGCAGATGTGGTGTGTTTGCAGCAGACGTCGACTGCCTTACATGAGGCAAGAGAGGTGCAGAGCATTGATAACTGTTCATATGGAGTGCCATGAGGCAACCTGCTTTGCCCACATAGCGTGCCAAGAAGAAAGCACAGGGTGTAGAGGTACAGGCAGGCAACCAGGGACTCCTCTAAGCAGAAAAGTTATACAAAGTTTGGACTTCTGTTCTGCTGTAATACAAACAAGAACAGGACAACACTGGGTGTATGTAACTATCCAAACAGATCCTGATGAAATGCCAATGACAATTAAAATGAACCCTGAAAACAAAATAATGGAGAAATATAGCCCTTCCAGTGTCTGTGACATGGCATGATTCAATGGGACTTGCTGGCTGGGCAGGACATACATTCCATACATCAGGGAAATGCGATATTAAGTGTCAGTAAAAGGAAAAGGTTTGTATAATATTACATGCATGCAAGCAAAACAGTTAATGGCACTGAGAGCCTTAAAAGCATTCAACTTGATAAAAATCCTAATGATGATAGAGCCATGAAAGGACACTTTGTGTACTGAATGTATTCAGTAAGCATTTCCTGAAGTGTCTGAAAGCAAAGCTTCATTCTGCAGCATCCCAACAGACCTTCAGTCTACAAATTCAGTGTCAGGAGGGCATGTGCTGGAGGATTAGCAAACCCAATAAGGCCAGAAACAGGGAGAGAACATTATTTTGCACATTTGGCTATAACAGAAAAAGAAAAGAAGTCACAGGAATAGTTTTTTGATTAGCTGTGATACAAACAGGAGGAGAAACTCCTGGCATAATCAAAGCCAACCACAGCCACCTGATAGAGGCAAAAACGCTAACAGAAACCTGCGATACTGAGTGAGTCCATTGCAGTATCACTCAGTGCAGGTACCGGCATACTTGGACTGCAGTGTATCATTTTCACCTCTCCTGTTGGGCAATAGCATTTCAAGGGATTTGACACATTATCTGCACAGGTGATATTTTAGGGAAAGGTGCGTGAGATGTTAGAAGAGTGAGAGGAACTGAAATCTTGTCAATGATGCTCTAGTAACATGAAAACCCAAAACTCTTCTATTCCTATGATGCAGCTGGCATAACCTGAAACTGATGCACAGCAATGGCAAGGCAGAGTACAGATAATATATTCTGATTGTGTTTTAGAAAAGGGAAACATCACAATTGAACAAAAAAGAAAAATAACAAAATTACCAAGTCAGGTGATCTGCTTAGATAGAAAGCACTTGGATTGTCATATTCCTTTGAAACGACTGTGATGAAAGGAGAAAAATAACTTATATCCATAAGAAACTGCATCCAAGGATTCCAAGCAAGGTTTAGAAAAAACACCTTCATCTGGTAAAATGGAAAGGAAAGGCTGAATTTGAAAGCCGCAATAGAAGACAAGAGTGACAACTTCTGCGTTTGTGACAGGTACCAGAAACAGAACTGCAGGCAACCTCTGACAGATATGAAAATGTGTGTGTGGCGTCTAGCCAGGCCTCATGACCAACACAAACAGTGTTATTGCTATGGCTGTACCAATAAGACCATGAGAGTGCTCATGTCCATTATAGGAAAAGATTAAATCCCAAGTTGTAAACTCCAGAGCTTTGGTCCGAAGGCAGACATGCCTTTGATACCTAATCCGGGATCAGGGATTCCTATATTTCCAAAGGACCTGGTAGGTGTTCCTGCCTCAGCTATTCCCAGCTCACTGAAGAGACCTTGTGAAATTATCTCTTTTCACTGTGGTTAGAGAACCTGATGTATTGTCTGTTTTGCTTCTAGGAAAACACAGAGGAGATTCTTTTTGACAAGAATTTCAAATTTTATTTGAGGATTTGGTTTGGATCTTGTCTGGGCCAAGCCAGGTGGCATTTTTTTCCATAAGATTTTAAACTGTAAAAACTCTTTTTTGGATAATATACTGTCTATCCCATGAAACAGAATGCCTGTCATCCTGTCAGCAAGGCTTCTGGAAAAATGAGTGATTACTGAGATTGCTTTGTTCTGCTTAATTCTAGCCCAGTTAGGTTTGGTGGGGGTGGGGTGGGGTGTGACATTATGTCTATCTTACAGTCTTTGCTCCTGGGCTACATGTTCTGAGTTGGAAACATAGATCAGACAATCATTTTGACAGGCAGGCAGGTGGTACTAGTACAGTGGCACTACCATATCTATCACAGTTAATGTGCTCTCAGATTGAAATAACTACACTTTTCCTCTCTGGTCAAGGTTTATATAGCAGCAGAGCATGTCTCCATCCATATTTCAAAATGATGTCCTGTCTTAGGATTATTGTCTTGTCCCTGTGGTGGCTTATGGACTAGAATATTGATATTTGCTGCATTTAATTCTGTGCATAATAATGAAACAAAGGGCTGTAATGCACGTCAAAAAGAGTCTAAAAGGAAGTTATTCTGGCACAACTGCCGCATGATTGCCTCAGTTATCTGTCAAAAAACATTTGACTTAACTCCACATAACTAACCCTGGAGATTCCCATTTGAGATGCCCATGTAGAGCTGACTGATAAGACACAAGACCTACAAGAGACCTGTGGCCTTCTGGATTAGCAGGTGATGGCCAGGCGGGATAGAAACGCAAGGGCATCTCCAACAGCATCAGACTCCTATCTGTGGGCAACTTAGTAAGCCTGGGTGAACACAGTCACTGGGATCTGGAGAATGGCTTATCTCAACCTAGACTAGCTTTGGGTTTGCTGAATGGCTCTCCAGAATAATATTCTGTCTGGTATTATTTGGTGTGTCCTGTGGTATGTGAGACATCCGTGTGGGCAGGCAGACATGACACAGGACCCATGAGAGACCAAAGACTTTCTGGAGTGGGAATGCTGTAGGGATGTCAGATAGCACTAGACATCTCACCTCTGGGCAACTGAACCAATCATCTCCTAAATTTTGCTCTTACTGTAATGACTTAAGACACATTGCTCACCTTGGTTACCCTTGGACACTTAACATATAGGGGTCGACAAAAAGGAACTGAATGTTACCTGTGTGTTGACTTACAGTATTCACTGTGTGGCACAGGAGAAAATTGTCAAACAACGAGTTGCAGGAAAGCTGTTCAGATTAATCATTCAGATTAATTCAGGATCTTTTGCTTTTGCTTAACAAAAAAAATAGCATGAATTTAAAAATAACATTTGGTTCTTCTTTTGGACAGCTTTTTAAGAAAAAGCCATACGGCACAGAATGACAATTTTAAAAAAGAAATTATAGTCTTGCTTTTCAACTCTGAATCCAATGAAATTATAAGATCTACTTTCAGATGAGGGTGAATCTTTGCAAATTAAATAAGAAATAAGAAAACTTCTGATTTTGAGCTTTGTGTAAAATACTTAATTAAAAAAAAAAATGTGGCTGAATCATCAGCCCTGTGGAGTGAGTATTTTATGAACCACTGCAAGGGAGAGTTTATAGAAGTTCTAAAATACTTGTTACCATTTACTTATGCCCTTATCTGCCCAGGTGCCCTAGCTGTGCTTGTTGTGTAATTTGTTCTTAATTTATGTGTTTTGATTGCTCCTAGGCTTATAATTTGTGAATAGCGGTAAAACTGAGCAAACTGTATGGCTGTCATTCATGTATTTTGGCCTGCTACCTCAGGGTGTTGAGCAGTCCTGTAGGAATAGAAATTTGAAGCACATTCAGCATCTGATAGAATGGCAATTAATACTTCACATGGCTTTAGTAATTGATGAATATTTCTTCTGGAAAGAAAAGATATCATTTAGTGCACTATGTTAGTAAAATATTTCAGCTTTTACTTACAGTGACTGAAGCTGCTGAAGGTTTTCGAAGCGATCCTCAGAGAAGTGAGAAAGTAGATTGAAAGACAGATTGCTAAAAGAAAGATAAACTGTTCCTTGTTTTATTTCAGGAAAAAGACAAGCTAAATTATTACATTTTTAAATTCAGTTAGGAATTCTCATTTATAACTTCCAGCTTTTGTAAATACTTCAGGTCTATAAAAATAAAATGTCATAATTTTGTTATCATGTTGCTGGACAGATCCCTTGGAGAAATAGAGAACAAAAGCAATCAGGTTCATCCTTAGTATTCTGCCCATCCCTTTCAATACAAACTTTAAGCTAAGACTCAGATTTTCTCCTTTTTATAGGTGAGGAGGCATGCTATCTTACTTAAAATTTTAATAGCAGCAAAATTATCTTTTGTCATTACTTCAGTTCATCCAATACTTCCTTGCTCTGCTCTGATTTTATCCATAAGTCACTTTGAAGCCAGTCGGTACAGGCACTGATGTTTGGTGATCGCTAAACATGGATCATTTTAGCTCTGATTCATCATAACTAATTCAGCTGAGGTATCTAATTTGGAAACCTGGTTACCTGAGGGCTTCTCTATAATTTATGAACTTAATCATTGCTGAGAGGTGAGATGAATCAAAGCCTAATTACATAGATGTGAAGCTTTCACATTTAATATAGGTAGAACATGGAAAAACAAAGAAAAAAAGAACACATTAAAAAAAATCCGACAGTAATTTCAACGCTGAAGATCGGAATTAGTGAATGAGTTCTTGCCATGCCAGCAAATCAGTGTCTTTAACACATAACATCAGTTGCTGCTCTCCTTGCACAGACAGCAGCAGCCTGTTTCAATCACTCATGTCACTCCAGTCACTGACAGCTCCCCTTCTCCTTCAAGCTTTCCCTTCTCTTTTCCACTTCTACACCTTCTGCAGCTGGTTTATGTTTCTGCCTAAACATGTCATGCCAGATAATGAGGCAACCAAAACCCAGATGCAGTGTGACTACTTTATATGCAGATGAGCCTAATGCATACACGCTTATCCCTGAGGGAAGTGGCAGTCTCAGATCTTAAAGTAGGTGCCTCAGTTCCCCAAACAGCTACTGGGAGAGACTGGTTCACCTCCACAGCACAGAGATGCCACCCTAGCTATCTTTCTATAGACTGTACAGAAAATACAGATGCCCTCAGTGTGTGAGCCGAAGCAACTGAAAAATGTAGTATTGGCTCCAGAGGGCCTAGGTGAAGCTGGGCACTCGTATGCTGGGAAGGGAGGGAGCCCAATGGGCGCTGGGGCAGAGAGAGACCTTGATTTGCAGCCCATACAGCTATCTCTGTTGTAAAACCCAGGAGGTCTTGGAATAAGTCTGCCCCCTCCCCGTGATGCTGCCCGAAGCACTACCTGCAGCTCCCTCTTCCCAGGTACCTTTCTGTCCTTCTGCCTTTGATTCTGCATGGCCTCCTGCCTCACCTTGGGCTGGAAAAGTGCAATACATTCACAGATTACAGGCATGTAATAGCTCACACTCTGTAATTTAAAAATAGTTTTTGGAAAGCTCACAATTCCACCAAATCTTTTAATGAGGAAAAGGTATTTGCAGGCAGCAAGCAAATTTGATTTCCATGAAGAAACCTGTGAAGTAAAACATATCTTAGAATAAGTACTTAATGGTTCAATTTATTCTGGAGTGCTAATTTCATGTTTCAGTATGACTACTTGGCTTTTTATTTTTCTAGTGTGTTAGAAGTTACGCAGAACCCTGGTTAATTTTTCCAAGCCATAACAAGGTGTGTTATTCTAGTCAGTGCAAGAGAAACCTACACAAGAGTAAGTAGTTAAGTAAAACTTTCCTTAGTTTTAATTAAAAACAAGCAATTTACAAGGTAAAAAGCAATACGGAATTTTACTTGATTAAAGGCTCTGGGATTTGCTATCCAGATAGAAATTTTACATGTTCAAATTTAGCTTTTTTTCGCTTTTGCTCTCACTGCGATTGATACAGTCCCACTGCAGGGAATTCCTGTTCCTTACTGGTAAGGCACCACATGTATAGCATCAAGAAGCATTTTATTTTTCTTAACCTGTATAATTTTTTCTTCATGAACATGATCGTCCTTCAGATTCTGCTTTTCCTGTCCTCTGTATTATATGAAATATAGCTGAATATAAATAAGTTATAAATGTGAGTTATTACTGTATACCAATATATTTAATTTTAGCAGCAACGCAATTTTTTTTTGCTCAGGTTCCCTGCAAGGGGAAGACCCAGTCTGAAGGAGGAATGGATTCAACAAGAAAAAAATATCTGCAGGTTGAGATACAAGTATACTATATTGTTTCTGCTTTGCGATCAGATTGCAACTCCCAGGATTTAGTGGAATTTAAAAAGCACCCCGGTGCTCATGATCTGATCACAAGGCAGAAATAATACAGTATTCCTATTTCTTATTCTGTTTGTTGAAAAAAGTGATCGTGACAATTGCCAAAATGTGCCATGTGACTGCGCATACAGTAATTCAATTAATTGTAAAGAATACCTCCTTGACAGAAGCACAACTGTCCTGATGAGGCTTTATACATTGAGACAAATACTGTGTTGAGGACTGTGAGTCACACATATTCAAAAGGTTTTTGTTGCTTTACTTCCGTACATCTTTTACTTACAATACGGTAAGTGCATCGCATGCCAGGAAGGTGGTATTAGTTAGGGCCTTAATATGATTGCGTTCAAGATCCCTGAATAACAATAAGGAAAGTGGTTTTATTCATGAGTTGTGTAGTAGTTTTGCAGGAGGGAGTTTAGGTTCTGGGCTAGTCTTCTTTTTTTTTGACATTCCTTTATTTATTTCTTACAAAATTAGCCCCAATTTATTACCTAGTTTTGAATATGAATGTAAATATCAAACAAAGCGAATTATATTCTTTCCTATATTGTGATTTCATCTCTGTTTCTGGCCAAGTTTGACAGCCATTTCAGCAATAATAGGCTAATACATTGGCATTTCTTATGTGTAATCTGTGTATCAGGATACATAGAGACCATTAGGTGGAGATTTTACATTTAGTTGTAACATATATATCCTAAGTATAACTTAGGATAAACATGCATTCACAATAACTGATTTAATTTTCATTGAGAAACTAAAGTGAAAGACAGGATTTTGCTAAACTCATGAGAGCCACGAGAACAAGAAGCAGCTCTAAAGATTTCTGTTGGCAGAGGACTGTGTAGACAGCCATTTGTAGACAGCTATTTGAAACACTGTGAGGTTCAACTCTGGCAAGGTTATACTTTTTGTTAGAATGTCACACCTTTAAAAGTGCCTTGGTCTAATAGAATAAACAAAAGATGAATTTTTTTATCTGTGCAGAAAAAGATATATTCATTTATCAAATGAATTTTTTGCATAATTTACTTACATCAAGGTAATGACATTTGAGTACAGATCTTGGGTAGAGTCTCAAGTGAATTGTTTATCACTGATCTTCATAAATTAAAACAAGATGTTTTATCATACTTCATAGCACAATATATAAGTGTCAGAAAGATATGCAAATGTAAACTTTTGAGAGATGAATCCAAGATTAGATTTAGTTACATTGCTTTGAAATTTAAGGTAAATTTAGATTTTACAGAAACTACACAAGAAAAAAAGATTTTTTAAGTTACCAGTAGCAAAACATAGCAGAAACAGTTATTTTTTGGTACTCGCTTATTAATCTATTTTATTTATAAGCAATGGATACATTGAATGACCAAGAAATATGCTAAATTGAAAAACTCAGAAAAAAAATCTGTTCATTCAATAATTTCCATTCTCAGTTGTTGTGGTTTAACCCCAGTTGGCAACTTAGCACCACACAGCCGCCTGCTCACCCTCCCCGCCCCTCACCGGGATGGGGGAGAGAATCGAAAAAAAAAAAGTAAAACTCATGGGTTGAGGTAAAGTGAGATAAAGACAGTTTAATAGCACAGCAGAGGAAGAGAAAAAAAACCCCACAATATTAATAATAAAAGAATATACAAAGAAGTGATGCACAATGCAGTTGCTCACCACCTGCTGACAGATGCTCAGCCCGTCCCCAAGGCTGTGCCCCCCCAGCTTCTGGTGCACCTGGCAGAGCATGGGAAGCTGAAGAGTCCTTGACCAGTGTAAGCACCACTTAGCAACAACTAAAACATCAGTGTGTTACCAACATTATTCTTACACTAAATCCAAAACACAGCACTATACCAGCTACTAGGAAGAAAATTAACTCTGTCATCTCAGCCAAAACCAGGACATCAGTATGTTTTCCACACATGCTATGACCTTCTTCAAACTCCCATGGGAGCTGGTAAGGTGTAAAGTTATTTCAGCTCCTGCCCAATCCACTGCTTCAGTGGTCACTCTGTGGAACCTGGTCCAAAGGCTACTGGTGCCAGCTCTGATGCCAGCGGCTGCCCACCACGAGCTTGGCTGAGACAGTTGAGTCAAGGGTCATTAAAGACACAAAATTTTTCGTTTTCTTTGTCCTGAGCCAAGGGACTAGTAGCAAAAAATTTTCTGCTAGCAAACCCAAATAATTTATTTCCCTGCATACTATTAAAAACAGCCGCTAGCTTTTCTAAGAGACCAAGATTATGCTTTTCAGTTGCTGGTTTACTTGAGTAGGGTGATGGAAAATGCTTCTAGGACTTCACATCTCCTTCCCACTTACCGTAAGCTCTGCCTTATATGGAATTTTCTGTTATAGTCATAGGAAATTGTCTGGGAAATTGTTCAAGTACCTAAATACTGTTTCAGTTTCTAAAAGGAGATGCTAGGTGTCTGCTGGTTGTATCCAAGAATTTCCAGTTTAGACTGTGAGTTTTCTGTAGGCGTTCTGAGAAGAGAGATACGATTCTAAACAGTTTTACAACTTTGTGAATGTGCTTTAGTTTTAACAGAAACCTCGTAAAGATAGTCATAGCATGGAAGTTGCCTATGAGACATCCAGATCCAAATTTGGATCCAGACGTGGTAAGTATGGGGAGTTGACAAGCATGATTCCTTCATGAAGAAGATGTTTGAAAGTCTTAAAGAAAGAAAAGAATTTGGAGGAAAAACAGAAAGACAGAAAGGAAAGTTACTTAGATATTGAACAGTACCAATATAAAAATGTGCAAGAGCAGTACTTACTGAAAAAAAAAAAAAGGCTTTACCCCAGTAAAAAACTGCTGGGAAATTTTCACTATTAGGTTATAATCTAGAATTCTGGAAAGAAATAATAGTTTACTACGTCACCAATCCTTGTAAAAAAACAATGAAAAAATGACAGATAAGGAAATCATGAGGTTTCCTCTGCAAATCCAAAATAAAATAACCAGACCTAGTTATTATCTCTAGAACCTGAAACATAACCTGAGTGATAAGGAGTCGCAAGGTGCAGTAGTCAATCTAATTTTTTTGGCAGAA